GTGTGTGTGTGTGTGTGTGTGTGTGTGTGTGTGTGTGTGTGTGTGTGATTTTAGTCTAGAGGGGACATTGGCATTCTTTGGACCCAGCTAGAAGAGCTGAGAAAAAAAATTGACAGACCCAGTAGCTAATTAAAAGTATGCAGCTGAAAAAGCTCATGATTAATTCATGATAAACTAATACAGCATTCATTATTCTTTCTTAATGTTCTGATGCAAAGTGTGAGTCTTTCAGTGGGGACTAAAATATCTGTGCCTAAATACCTAATAACAATACCCATTATATCTCACCAACATAAAGCCATCCTCATGGGGTATTTGAATATACTTCACAATTTAAAATTCAGGGTTCTTGAATACAGCATATGACACTTTTCCCCTCTCCTTAAGTGGACTGGTGATAATCAAGAAAATACTTTTATCTCTGATATTTCTCTTTTTTTTCCCCTCCAAAAAAAAAAAGATTAGTGCAATTAAAGTTTTCTTATGAAACAAAACAAAATAAAATTTCCTTTTTATGAGACTTCATATTATTTGGCAAGGCCTGCCCACAGTCTCTTGATTTACTCTGCTTAAATATATACTAGGAGAGTAATGTTTTAATCCTTTGGTGACAATGAAAAGATGTTTCCAGGAGACTGTAAATCCTTAGTGAGGATACTTTGTGGCAGCAAATACCCATGGTAATAAGCGCATTTGGGGGTCAAGATCCTGCCAACCGGGAAAGTTGTGGTTAACTCTGTCCTGTGTGTCTGAGAAAGTGAACAAAGGGGAGGCTCCTGATCAGATACATGGTGAGAGAAAATAAAGCAGTCTGCAGATTGTACCGTTGACCGAGTGGATCCTTGACAGTGGGGCACGTTGGTGTCACGTGCGTCCTGATGGGAGGTGACAGGAACACGAAATCATGAGTGTAATGTCGCTGCCGGAAGCCTTCCACTGGAATCTGTTCACAAGGAAGTGAATCGACGGATGCAGAATGTAGCACATTGTAAGAGACAGTTGACCTGGATTCTTCCAAAATAGTCAGTGTCACGGGGTGGAAAGGAAGGTCAGGGACTATTCCTGATTTAGAGAAATGAAGGAACAGAACAGTGGTCCCCAAATGTGGAACGGGGGAAAAAGGAACCCAGAGCCAGAGTTATTTGGGGCCTGTGTCGTCCGTGGGTTGACTGATACTGCATTGTTTGTCTGCACGGTTGGTATTAAGGTGTCGTGGTTATGGAGGCGATGTCCTGTTTCTAGGAGACCCACGCCCGGCTCTTGAGAGGGTCACGCTTCTGATCCCTGCAGCTTTCCATGAAACATCATGATACACAAATACAAACACATTTCTCATCCTTTCTTCGGATACGGAGAAAAGGTATGCGAGGATGTACAGGTGTGTATATGCACGTGTATCTGTGTGGAGAGACAGAAAGCAAAGCAACCATTGCAAAATGTAAGCAGTCAGTAAACCTAAGTGAAGGACTATACTGGAGTTCGCTTTTCTTTTCAACCGTTTCGCGAGTTTGGAAGTTTGCAAGAATAAGTATTGGGCAAAATACGTATGGAGCGTTATTGTCCTTCTCCTGCTTGAGGAGGGGTTTTGGTTCCACTGACTGTGTAGTTTCAGGTTTTTGCGCAGGACCGGTGTGTCAGACGCACGTGTTGTGTGCCCTCCTCCATCTGCATGGGGGAGACCTATGCCTGCCACGATGCTCAGTGTATCCTGGTCCCTTTTGCGATGGACGGGTCATCATGCCGTGTGGTTGTGAGCTATACTTGGCAAAACCTCCTCCCTGCGACTCTGAAGATGATGAATCCCTGTGTCTTTGTTGGGTAGTGTTTGCAGAATAACTGTGGACCCCGTCACCTCGATTTTCCATGTGGCTTGTTGACATGGTATCGAGCGCTGAGTGGGTTCTTGTCAAGAGGTGCATTCACAACATGTTGTCGATAATTCCTGGGCCACCTTGCAAACTTACCCTACTCCTGCTTCCTTTTCCCTGAGAGGGTCCCCAGGAGAGCTTGATCACGATGGAATACCGTCACGGGAGCTGACTCAGGATGCATACCAACAGTGGTGTGGTATAGACCTCCCATTGTGCATTTGTGTTTGCGTGGTTTGCTGAAGCAGGCTTAGCTCAGGTGCTCTCTGGGTCTGTGGGTGTTTGCATCAGAGCACGAATATCACAGCCTGTCTTGCTTCTTTTGACAAGCACAGTCTGGCTTCAGAATTTAGAACAATAATTGTACTGTCCATTAAAAAAAAAGACGCAGGTCATAATACCTAAGGAATAAAGCATTCCATTTTAAGAAGGCATCTACAGACACACTCGAGCCAAACGCTTAGTTTGCGACCTTGACATCCATTCTACTGAAAACATGTAGGACGCTGGGCCCCATAGGCCGTGCTTGGCGCCCTGTTCCCGTTGGAAGCGTAAGGAAGGCTCCCCTGGGAGCCTCATCAGGCCTGGGGGGCGTGGTCCGAGTTGGTCCCACCCACGTCTAGCAGAGCAACTCTGAGTTTCATGTTCGTTGGACTTTCCTGTGGGCAGAAGATGCTGTGAGTAAACTCAGTGGCAACTCCTGATTTATCTGTCTGTCCTGTTTTATAACCGAGGACCACGGACGCTGACCCGTGTTTGTGATGGTTGAGATAAAGATGAGATGGGTCTACCCGTGGTCTCAGCTGGGTCTTAGCCATGGTTCAGTGAGAGCAGCAAGACCGTCCAGCCATGGGGACTGAGAACAACAGCAGAGACACATGTGTTACACTGGAAGACAGGACGTTTAGATGCGGAGGGTTCTCATGCAAAAAGATCA